TGCTGAGACCCTACAGCATCCAGTGTGCTCTCTTCCTCTTGTTGCTTCTGCTGGGCACCATCGCCACCATCATTTTCTTCTGCTGCTGGCACCGCAAGCTCCAGAAAGGGAGACATCCGATGAAATCGGTCTTTTCGGGTCGTTCCAGAAGCAGAGGTGAGGAGACACGCCGCCACTGGGCTCTTCTGGGCAGAAGCGAGGTTGAAGCCTCCTCTGCCGCCCCTGCCCCCTTCATTGCCTCAAGCTTCGTGCATTTATTCATTTAACGCGCCCTGGCCTTTTGCCCTCAAGTCCGTCCTCAGATCACCAGGTTTGGATAACCACGGAGATTCGGAGGTCCTGGGAGGAAGGATCAGACTCCGATTCTTAGGGTCAGTTTGCTAAATTTTTAGCCCAGAAGGTAATTGTAGTGGAATCCTGGGCTGAGGCATTCTTCTCTTTACATAGCTTTTGCTAGAGCTTGGGGATTAAAAAAAAAAAAAAAAAAAAAAAAACAAAAAAAAAAAAAAGGAAGGCGTGATAATTTGGGGGCTCCCCTCCCAACTTTGCTGGAACTTCTTGAAATCACCTTAGAGACAGATGGTCCTATACTCTCTCCGCCCCGCCCCAATATGCCCACAGAATTGGAGAGAGACATCTAGAATGTGCTTTCCCCGCATCCAGGTAAGTGATCCGCAACTCTGCAGGCTGATAACAAGGAGTTAATGAAGTCTCATTTTCCCTCTTTTCTCCCCAGATGCTGTTCTGAGATCTCATCACTTTCGCTCTGAGGTAATTTATTTAGTGCACACTCTCAAGGTCAGAAGTAGCTTGCTTTCCTGAGTACCAGTATTATTCATGTGCCTGTTGAGAAGCCAGTAGGACACCGAATGGGAAGCTTGCAGACCCTGAGTCCAAACTGGCATGCTTTGTTTTAAGCAATTCCACAGACAAGCCCAAGGAGTGTTATAACGTGTGTGTGTGTGTGTGTGTGTGTGTGTGTGTGTGTGTGTGTGTGTAGTTCTGTGTGGAGTTTGCTTTACAAGAGGTGGGAGGGGCAGCCCCTAAATGTGCAGCAGGCCTTAGAGAACTTAGCCAGGGAATGGCTGTCAGTTTAGCTTACAGTCGGAGTCTGTGGTGGAAGCACTTCCTGGGTGTGCACAGAGGTCAGTAGTTGTGCACTTGGACAAACCATAAAACAGTTCAAGCCATATGCGTTCCAGGTGACATTCCTAGTGTCTTAGAAAGCTGTAGGTGACAGTGTTTTTGGACATGATAGTGGTGCTGATGAAGATACACCAGAGTTTGTAGTTGATGTTTGTGCTAGACTAGCCCTCTAGAGAAGGTGACTGGACACGCCAGCGTGTGAGACTGCAGTGGGACCAGCTGCAGTTAGAACAAGACTCTGCCTGACCCATTGCACTGCTGGAGTTTCCAGATGCTCACTTATAGTAAGACAGTGTTCTCTCTTTGGGGGAGAGCTGCACATACCCAGGCATGGAGGATGCTTTGTGGCACCGCTTATTCACCTGAACAAAGTATTGCATATATCCCCTCTCCTACAAGCTCCTTGTTTACCTGAAGTTACTTTGTTTTTCTTGTTAATCGGAGGTGTCCTTGCATCCTGGGTGCTTTGCCAGATTGTGATTATTTAAGCTTAATTATCATAACGTTATGTTGCATATGGAGTGATTCTACTACATGTGCCCTGGAAGTGAGAACTCTGTGCTAGTTAAGATTTGTGAGAAAATAACTTGTCAGTCGTCAGTGGATCTGTATCTAGCTTTATACTAACTATGTGTGTGTGTGTGTGTGTGTGTGTGTGTGTGTGTTGGGGTGGGGGGGGCTGGAAAACTGTTTTGCCATCTGTAAAACAGGGCCAGCAGTACCCTGCAGGGCTGTATGTGGAAAAATATTTTTTAAATTATGTAAAAAATAGTTCATTCATAGGAGATATTTAGTTTTGGGTAGCCATTATACATTTTGTAAAATTGAGCTGAAAATTGTCAGGTGTGGCGGCATACACCTTTAATCCCAACACTTAGAGTCAGAGGATCTCTATGAGTTTTGTAGCCAGCCTGGTCTGCATGGTAAGTTCCAGGACAGCCAGAGCTACATTGCTACATTGTGAGACCCTGTTTTTTTTAAATAAAAAAAAAAGGAAGAAAAGAAGAGAAAAAGAAAAATATGAAAAAAATCAAGATATGTCTGTAATGAAATCTTTAGGAAATTAGGTCAGGTTTATGGACTACAGCATGAACTGGGTCTGTTGTGAAACAGTCTTTGAATAGCAGATTAATTAAGTAAAATAATTCATTTAGATGCACCAAACAGTAAATAGTGGACAGGGTACAGACGTTGAGATGTAGGGGATTGACTTGCAAAAGATTCACCAATTCTATATACATGAATGACAGTAGAGTCACACTGCTGTGAACTAGCCTTCAAACATTTCAGCTTTAAGCACCCTGGGAACATGTGGGATGTGGCTGTATCTTTGTTCGTGTTTTTTTTTTTTTTTTTTTCTGAAATTTTGTCTTGAGCTTATATTGGTTAAGAAGTCTGGCATTTGTTCAATGCCTTGTCTTGTTCTGTTAGGATTGCTAGTATCATTTGAAATCTTGGTGTATACTTGTTGCTTGCTTTATGTGTTAGCCTGTGAGTTCCTGGGGGTAGAGCTTACTTGGGTCTCTGGTGATGCCACTGCCTGGCTCAGTGCCTCATATAGAATGGGTTCTTATATTTTTGGTTGTAAGCTTAGCCTTTAATGGCTGAGCCATCCCTTCAGCCCTAGAATGTGTTCTTAATAAATATTTATGGGCTGAATGAGAACAGTCTCTTGGTGGGCAAATAGAACTCAGAGTTGGACAGAAGAGGAAAATGCATTCTTGGAACTTGGCTTAGAATTTAGCAGTGCTTATTTACCTTTCCCAGGCTTCTAAATCAGAGATTTATTTATTTATTTATTTATTTATTTATTTATTTATTTATTTATTTTTAAAGTGGGTCTCACTGTGCAGCTCTGGTTGGTCTGTAACTTACTTTGTAGATCAGGCTGGCCTTGAACTCAGAGAGATACGCCTGTCCCTGTCTCTTGAGTGACTGGCTTTTTCCAAAGCTTAAAAAAAATTACCTTGGTTTGTAGTGAAATTTAAGATATTCATTGTAACAAAAGGATTCTGTTAGAATTTCTTTTTTCCCAATAAAATAAAATGTAATATCAGCTTAATTTGTTGGTGGATTATGCATGGTAAACTCAGCAAGGAATGTTCTTTTATATGTGGAAATTCATAGACTGTGTTGCACAAGAATGTCATATTTCATCACTGTCTTATATTTACCACAAACAGAACATTTCCCTTCAAGCAAAACACAGGATATATTTTCTTCTCCTTAGAACATTTCTCTGCCAAGAGTTTTCTCCTTAAGTAAGACCTCCACATTTACTTGGATTAAAGCATATTTAATAAGTTAGAGTGGACACAATGAATATTTATTCCTGCTGTTTTTTTTTTTTTGTAGCAGCTGCTGCAAAATATTATCATCACAGCCAGTGCTTTGATTTTCTGGCAAGTCCTAATCACATTGGGCTAAGTTTCCAGTGCTTGCTGTTCCTCATGCCAATCTTAGTAAGTGGGTAATTCACTTTCAGCATTTCTGTCCTGGTCAAATGAGAAACACATGTAGGATCTGCTGACTCACTTTGAAACCTGAACAAGCTGTGATAGAACACTGGAATTGATGAAGTTTGAAAAACATTTTGCTGTTTCATCTGGCAGGGAACATTGTTTCTGCCACTCCCACCTCCAGGAAAGAGTCAGCGTAGATGGGGAATTTCAAGGTGTTCCGTCTTAGATGGTCAGAACAATACTTCCTAAGGAAAAAACATGGCATTGAGGCCCCGCCGAAGAGATGAAGGCAGCTCCCAAATCTGAGGAGCTGTGGTCCTTTCTCTCCTCCTTTTCTGTGTTTAATGGCACATTTCTTCAAGCTCTTTGTGAGGGACTAGAAGTCAGTAATATGAATGTTCAGAAGGCTCTTTAGGTCTGTAGTCACCACCAGCACTTTCTTTTCGGATACTTGCAAATTTCTGGGCTTTTTAAACAAGCCTTTAAATCTTAATAACTGCATATGAGAAAGTGAAATTAACCCCTCTAGCAAAGTCTGTACAATTTTACCTGACCTTAGAGACTATAGATGGAAAGGTTCAGTTAGGTAGAAATATGTGTATTGTTTGATTATTTAAAAACTTGCACTCTGTGTGTGTGTGTGTGTGTGTGTATGTGTGTGTGTTCATTGTAAACTGCTAATGAAATGATTTCTCACTGAAGTAGGACAGTCTAGAAACCATGTGTGCCTTCTGGTTCCTCGCTGTCTGGCATCTCCGAAGTGCACTTTCCCGAAAACCTCCAGTGTTTTGCGCTGTGACGGTGAACAGTGGTAAATGTCACTCTAGGTTCCTGTGGTGAAAGTCAGGTGGTGACTGTCCTGTTTTGGAGGAAATTTCAGAC